CACACACACACACACACACACACACACACACACACACACACACACACACACACACACACACTATTAAAGCTGTGTATATAGAGTTTCAGGCCATCTGTCCCTGATGCGAGTGTTTCTGCTCTCTGTTCATTGAGTTTCCTCTCGGTCACTTCCACATCTTCACTTCTTCAGTTAGAAAACAGTGAAGTGGCACACTTTCATTTCTTATTACATTTTATTTTGAAAAACATCCTGAAAAATGACAAAATTCCTCAATATTGAAGAACACAAACAAAGCTTTTCCACTCTGACCTTTTTTTCTTTTCAATTTCTTGAAGTACACAMTTTTAAAAAGGCTAAAAATTAAAATGATTGATCATTAAAGTTCTGTGAAGGAACATGTGTCGTCCACTGCCTTTCATGCTTCAAAGTCATCTTATGTTGAGAAATGAGGTTGTAGCTGAAACCTTCAAAACATCACATCACAATCTGTCACAGATGACTCTCGGCTGCTAACACACCAAATTTTAGCTCCGTATTTATAAAACTGACAGAGTTAGAGAGATTTTTAACATTTAGTTGTCAAGATGGCCGCCAAAGCTGATTGACCTTTGTAAACACATGGCTGTAATTCTGTGGATTTTACAGATATTGAGCTAAAATTAGCTAAGGTAGTAGCTGAGGGCTAACAGACTGATACAAGCAGGTGGACTTTAATATATCAAGCAACACAGCTCTTTGTTTGTCTAAGAAACATGTTTTCACGTGTTTTTAAAAAAGTAAAAGAAGCCTCTCTGACTTCTGTTTCTTTTTGGTGACAGGCGACCTGAACCTGAACGTGGTTGCCATGGCGCTGTCGGGCTACACCGACGAGAAGTCATCCCTGTGGCGGGAGATGTGCAGCTCTCTGAGGCTGCAGCTGAAGAACCCCTACCTCTGCGTCATGTTTGCCTTTCTCACCAGCGAGGCCGGAGCCTACGACGGCGTACTGGTAAAAAAATAATAATAAYTAAAGCCGTGTTCTTTTAAAGCCAAGTTAGGAGAGGAGAAAATAACACTGGACCCTTTGTTCTGTTTGCATAACGAGGTTTATTTATTCCTAACAGTCGTAAATTGTTTGGGGGAAAACCTCAGGTGCTTTTTACATTTCCACGGTYGGTGTTAGAAGTCATAAAGCAGTGAGGAAAAAGAGGAACTTTGGCCYAGTTTGTTCTTACTTTATTATTTCTCTTGATAAATAAACAGTAATAAAAAAACAAGGATTTTCTTCAGACGTGTGGTCTGAAAACATCTCGTATCTTTCTTTCAGTATGAGAGCAGTGTAGCTGTGCGAGACAGAGTGGCCTTCGCCTGCATGTTCCTCGGTGATGCACAGGTAACCTCAGGTTGTAGCTGCGAGCGCGCAGCGCTGTTCTGCCGTTATAAACCCGCTTCATTTGGGTCGCAGCTGCCGCGTTACATCGACAAGCTTACCAACGACATGAAGGAGGCGGGAAACCTGGAGGGCATCCTGCTGACGGGGCTGACGAAAGACGGGGTGGACCTGATGGAGAGCTACGTGGACCGGACCGCAGACGTGCAGACGGCCAGCTTCTGCATGCTGAAGGTACACCCAGACTCAAAGTGAAATAAAACGTTTAAACGCTCAGTGTAAATGACCTCCCACCCTCAGGGCTCCCCGGGCGAGGTGCTGAAAGACCCTCGGGTCCAGTGCTGGATCGAAAACTACCGGAACCTGCTGGATGCCTGGCGGTTCTGGCACAAACGGGCCGAGTTCGACATCCTCAGAGGCAAGATGGACCCCAGCTCCAAACCTCTGGCACAGGTGACAAATCACAGGAACAGATCTTGTCTCTTCTTTTAGCTCTTATATATCATTTCAGCTGGTGTTTAGCTTCACCTTCAGCTCCAAGTGTTTACATTTCTCTAGTCTAAGAGTTAAAAGGATCCATGATTAGTTGTAACATTAGACTTTATTTAATAAACATATATTTTAACTGTAAAATAAAGACTGTAAAAATACTGTAGGCTGTTCATTTTTTTTAATTATCATTTTTAAACTAAAAGTTTAAAAATATATGGCATGGACAGGGCCATTTTATTTACATGCAAAGCATTCTGGGTAAATGATGACGTGGATAGGTCTGTGATGCTGCTAGCGAGCTATATCCACCCTGAAGGTTAATCTTGGACAATTTCTGACGATTGACTCTTTTAAATGAAACCAGAG